TACTAAAGCAATGCCTGAAAGCATTTCAACAAAATTTCGAAACAAAATATTATTGTTTTACAATGTTACAAGTCCGAGTTTTTGATTTTTTCTCCATATTGCCTCTCCAAAATGAAAATAGCATCCAGATACACTTGCATCGGAAAAGACAATTCTTATAGCACTAAACGTCGCTATCTCAAAGTCAATTTGAATTTTATCAGGGTTTAGGATTATTCCAAAACGATGTAATTGGTTTTTTAAACTTGAAAAGATTTAACATATATTTCCTTTGTTTTACTAAATAAAAAAATGTAAACCAGTGGAAAGCTTTGTCCATTAAAATCACTATGAATTATATAAAGCTGAAAAAACTATTCGATGAAAACTTAAAAGTTCTCCCTAAAACCAATTTCTAGTTTTTTGAAGCAGTAAACCGGCCAATAAAATTCAGATCGTTCATAATTATTATTTTATGTATTTCTATCTCTTTAAAAATTAGAGTATTATGCCCGTTTGGTAAAATAAACTCGTTAAAATTAAAATTTTGTATCGCTAAAAAGCCGCCATTTGGCAAAACTTCTTTTTTCCATCTATATAAACTGGTTTTAAAAGAATAATAGGAAGGTGCAAATCCCAGAATAAATTCATCACATGAATAAAAACAATGCTGCATCATATAATTTATTTGCAGAAATAAACAAATTCTCCAAAAGTCTTGATTTAATAAAAACCTTCATTTGGAACTTAATGATTGTTGTAAGATCATGACTGTGCATATGAATTTCAGCTTTCTTAACAAGGGAGGACACCCTTGGTACAATCGAAGTGCCACATCCCGACTTTAAACACCCCCAATAGTCGTTGCTATTAGGTCCTTTTCTATTAAAACTATAAATAAAAAAATCAACTACTGGAACGGATGTATCTTTCTGGCTAATAATCCAAAAAAGTTCTCTCATATATGGGTTAAAAATTTTTTTATAAAGTAGAGGTTTTGGGACGGCACGACTTTTTATTGGATCTTCATTTATACACCAATGTTTATATTTTTATCACTTCTCTCTTCATATTCACCTTTATTCTCGAGTAATATCGTATTAAAGCCAATTTTATAAAAAAACAAATTAAATGGCGACTTATTTGCCACAGAATGAACAGCCATATTTTACTCATAAGCCATCTTTTGTAAAATTGATGACCATTTTTTATTATTTGCATTGTTTTGATTATACAAATGTTATTGTAGATATCTTGTAAGAGTTTGATTAAATCTCACAACTTAGCCTTGGCTTTGCAGATGCCCAGGCTTACCATGAATTAGAGTATTTTTTTGAGTTGCAAAATCCAGTGAAAACTGAATTTGTAAATTCTTTACCATAGTCAACTTATAAATTTGAGGATAACCAAGGATATAAAGGGGGTTTTAAACGCATAACAACTTCAACAGCCGTTTTTGCTTCATCGAACCGGTTAATGTATGCTTTGCATTTACATCTATACCAATTAAGATCCAAGTGTAATCACTATTTTGACAAGCATAACTCCTCATATCAATAAGATCTATTATCAACCCTTCAAAAGGCCTGCTTGGCAAAATGTGTTTAAATTTTTCTTTTGTTTTTAGAGGTTGTGCTTGTGCACAAATATTGCATTCTGCACAAACCCTCTAACAAGCGGTTTTGGTATAAAGAAATACAGTTGCTTGCACAGTCCATAAAAACGATTGTGTTCATAATGTTTTTGTCTGTGCAATGTCTGCACCTCAAGTTTTATTGCCGCCATTATGCCCTCAACAATAACACGTTTGTGGTTTCCATTTGCATTTTTTAAAAAAAGTAGATTGTCTACCAAACAAAATTTCCACACCATTTTTAAATCGATAGTTTGCTTACTTAATCTCCCCGATTGTCACATCTTTCCCCTGCAAGTATTGTACAATATTATGGTATTCCTCATTTGCTTTGACTGGTGCAATCATGGGGTATAATTTTTTTAAAAAAAAGTATTCATCCTAGATCTAATGAAAATAAATCTTTTTATAATTGTTTTAGTTAGACGTATTGTTGACTAGGCATTATGCTTGAACCAAGTCGTCGTTCCTGGTTTGTGTCGGAAAAAAACAGTATGATGCTGTTATTGATGTGTTGGTGGCGTCCGTGTGTGAGGTAGTATAATATGTATGGTTATATTATATATGTTGGTATGTTGAATGCAACAAAAAATGCTGGTCCAAGCCCGATCATAAAAAAATAGTAAGTATTATAGATTTTATGAGTATATTCCTCACTCATCATAATTAAAGTAAATAACGTATATTTAAAAACGAAGATTGTAGCAAAAACTGTAAGTATATTAAAGGCTAAGAAGTACAACTTGGGCTGGGCCCTGATCATAATAACAGCCGCAACAAAGAAAAGGAAAAAAAGTCCACCAGCTGTGGCTAGCGACACCAATATCAAAGCAAATATAGGGTTAAAAATACGCAGATGCACTAAAAAAAGGGGTTCTGAAATTTTTTTTAGCCTTTAAAAATAAAGTTCAAAGTTTAAAAAGAAAGAACTTAAAAATTAAATTCTGAATAATTTTAAGATAATAAATGGAAGTAGGTGTGGGATGGGTATAGATAAGGGCAACAAAACATTTGAGATAAAACTTATGAATTTTTTCGTTGTAAAAATAAATTCTGTTTCGCTTATAATAAACGGGTTTCTATCTGGAAGAAAACTATCTTTGAAGATTTAAGTTTCTAAGAATATTAGAATTATGACCTATCAAAACCCCCTCATTTTCTATTGCTTATATATCGTAAGAGTTAGCATAAAAAATGTGTATATAGAACTATCAAAAAAAATTTCTATAAAAATAATAATTATGTGGCAGTGAAGATGAAATTATTGAAATAGACAAATCTAAATTCAGCAAAAGAAGATATAACAGAGATTATCCTGTAGAAGGCGTTTAGGAATTGGGTTGGTTGAAAGACAGAACAAAAAAAGAATTGATTATTTGGATCAGTGCGGTTATTTTCCCCCAGAAAAAAATAAAAAAAAATAATAGAGAAATTTAATTATTTTTATTCAATACAGTCAAACATTCTAATATTTTATAAAACCCATTAGCTCTAAATATTTTACGTCACATATATTCAGCAAGATATGAACTTAAGCCTTTCTTTTTAACGCCTTTCATTTTTTCAATATAAATTTTATCCTTATTCCAATACGATTCATATGTTACGTATGGACACCATTATCAGGATTAACAAAATTTAAAGAACGGTTTACTGTATAATGTTGAACCCCCAAGCCTGTAATATCCTTATATGCAGCCCATTGATCTTTATGAATAATCTTACCAGGCAAACATATTCTTCGAATAGTATACAGAAGGGTAGCTTTATCTTTTGGGGCTACAACCTCTATGTATCCTCTTGCCGATAAATAACTTGTATCAACTATCCCAAAAACTCAGACTTGATGTTCTGACGTGCGTCCCCCATGATATTTTTGCTTGTGAAAATACAAGCTTTCATCAATTTGGCATATAATGCTAGGACCACCAAGGGAAATAGTATTTCTAATAAAGAACTTTACACATGCATTTCTAAAACTTCTGCACATGTCAGTTACCTTATCGTGTCTTGGTCCCGTCAAAACGCCAATATTTTTATGCGAAGTGTTTATGCTCTTATGGTAAATGGCGTATACTCTCATTTGTAAATCAATTCGTTTTTTTCAAAAAACGAATTGTTTCTGATTGAAAGTTTAGTTTTAAAATTAAGATATTGTTTCTTTCCGCACTTCCAAACAAATTTGTCTTTGGTCTTACTGCAAGCTAGCCAGTCTATACCTCTAGAGCAATAAACGCAACACATGCTTCTTTTAATTAATCCTTTGGACTTGAGAAAGTTAATAGAACAATTTATATCAGTACCAATAATTGGCAAAATTTTTTCTCATATAAGAGTAAAAAAATATACTGCGGTTATTTCCCCCCGGGGGAAATAACCGCACTGATCCGATTATTCTTTTACTCATTCTTCAAAAACATTACATTCAAAAACAATGTCAGGAATCTTAACTTCGAGTGAATGCAGGTACAAAGTGCAAAAAATCGTTGAAGCCTTTACTTTGGTATAGTTAAATATTGTTTTTACAAACAAGGTTTGGGATTTTCAACTCCGGCAATTGTTACATTTAAAACGACTTTCATTTTATACGCCGTATATTTCCCCCTTTTTAAACACTTTACGTCACAACATTCACATAACCTTGGTGTAATATTTAAAAGCACCAATTTAACAGTAAAAGAAAGGAAACTTTCCTCAATTTCTGCTCTTCTTGCTAATACAAAAAGTTTCAACATTTGGAGGTCATAAATATTTAGAAATAAAATTTTGGAAAATTTATGTTTCCCCTATCCCCGGGTCCATCCCTTTTTTCCTTAAGCGTTATATAATTTTAGTCAGAAAATTTATTTAAAAGCCGTAATCATTGCCAATATTTTTTACAAAATGAAATGGCTACAGGGAACGTGTAATAAAAGCATCAAGGGGCGTATAATTTTATTTCTTAATCCCTTTCTAATGTTTTAAATGAAAAGGGGGTGTTACAGAAATATTATAAAACCCCCCAACTTAAAAATCATAACATGGTGGAAAAAAAAATCAAAATTATTGAGATAAGTTAAAAGAAATTTAATCAAGATTGGATAAAATATCTACGGAGAATCTTGAACTAGATATATCAAGAAAAGAGTATAACCTTGGATTTGATAAAACGTCTGATAAAGAAAAAATATATAGTATGCTGTCCCAAGGAGATGATATGCTTGTTCGGTGGCATCAAGAGGGATTTAAATCTAAAAATGTGAATGATTTGTCTTATGAAACATAGAAAGAAGAGGCTTTAGAAACATTGGAAGGACTATTACGACGAAATTTTTTAGATATTAAACAGAAAAAAGAAGAATCTGCATTTAAATTTTTAAAAAAATGGAAAAAGGAGGAAAACAGCCGAAACCAAAAGAAGACATTATTTTGAAAATTTTAAAGAAAGGACTAATGAAAAGCATTACAGAAATAAGATTGGCGATTTGTGGTAAAAAGAAATTCATCAAAACGCTTTACGATAAAGTAAAGGGGAAGTGCAATAGGTGATGAATTGTATCAAGCTTGAGTGAACAGGAAGGAGAAAGGGGTTGTTAATAAGAAAAATAATATATTTAAAGAAGAGGAGAAGCACTTAAAAAACAGCGATCAAAAAGAGTTAATATTGCTGAAACAGAATAATTATTAAATAAAAATAATTACGTACGTATAAAAAGAAACAATTTTTTAGTATTGCTTGACACAGGAGCAAAGGAAAACTAGATATCGAAAATAGTAACGGAAAAAATTGAAGTTAGACATTTGTAAACTTAATCAGAAGTGAGAGAGATTTTCATGTTTTAATGAAAAATTTTTGATTTCAGAAGTACAAAAATAAATTTTTTTTATCAAAAAAAATATCTATGAAGAAATCTTTTATATACTTCCTAAAAGAGAAAATTTTATAATTATAGTGGGAAGAGATTGATCAACTAACCCAATAATGAAAAAAGAAAATAAAACAGAAGACGACACTATTGATTCGCCACTGGAAGAACTGTTCAAAGAAAAAGGGAGAAAATTTGAGCTGAAAATTAAAGACTGAAACTGAATAAGGAAGGAATGTTGTAATCAAACAATATAAGTTGCCGCAAGCCTATGAGGAAAAAATAGAAGAGGAAGTAAAGAGACTACTAAAAGTTGAATACATCAGACCAAGCCAATATGCCTGGTTTAATAACGTCAGACCAGTGATGAAAACAGATGGAAGTATACGCTTAACAACAAATCTGATAAGGCTTAATAAATTAGCAAAACTAGACAGATATTCTTTGCCTAACATAGATGAGATCATTTATAAACTAAAGGATCAAAAATCAATTTAAAAAAGGATTCTTTTAAATTAGAATAAACGAACAAAATTGTCGCAAGACAGCATTTAGAATAAAAAATAGACTATATGAGTGGACTAGAATGCTCATGGGGTTCAAAAACTCTCCGGCCATTTTTCAAAGAGTTATAGATAACATGTTACAAGAATTTATTTAAAAATGTTGAACGTTTATGTGGATGACATATTAATTTTCGGAAAACGAGAGAAGAGCATGATCAAGCGTTTAAAAATGTTGTTAAAACGCCAATTAAGAACAATATCATGGCCAAAAAAACAATATATGCAGTTACAGAAATAAAGTTTTTGGGACACGTGTTGATAGGCGATATGATTTTACCATGTATAGATAATTAAGTATCCACAACAAAATAATTCAGACGAGGTAAAATGTTTTTGGGAATAGTAAATTATTATAGAAAGTTCATAAAAAATTGCGCTGCGATCCAAGAACCATTGCTTAGACTGACAAAAAAGAATATTAAATTTGAATGACATGCAATTGCGAAAAAGCTTCCAATACACCAAAAGAGCTACTAATAGGGGCACAGTGTTACAACAACCGGATTTTGAAAAGAAATTTATAAAAGAAACAGATGTCTTCAATGTAGGTATCGGAGCAGTTCTATGTCAAGAGTTTGATGGAGATAGTTTGCCGGTCGCATTTGCTTCACGTAAATTAGGAAGCGCAGAGCGCAATTATTCGATAAGTGAAAAAAAAATGCTAGCAGAACTGTGTGCAATGGAGCATTTCAAATACTTTTTACTAGAAAGAGAATTTAAATTGATAACAGACCATAAAGCTCTTAAAGCGTTAGATGACCGCGGAACACTGCGCTCAAAAAGAATTGAACACTGGATCGAAAGAATTCAGCTCTTCAGTTTAAAAGTTGAATGTAGACAAGGACGGAAAATAACTCATGTAGATGGACTAAGCAGAATAACTCAAACACATCACATTAACATAATTAAAGATACTATAGAAAAAGAAAAGAAAAAAGCAATCTTAAACTTCTATAAACAAATAGTGCATCGGGGTGCTAGAATAATCTGTGAGAAATACAATAAGGCACACAAAGATCAAGTATCGTATCAACTAATAAAAGAAGTATTAAGTAATTGTGTAGAATGTAAATTATACAATCTAATTAAAGTTAATAACTCACATTAAATTAACTCCTATGAGGTAGGAGAAAAGGTTAATTTTTATACCATAGGACCTTATGAGAATAAATATATTATTACGGCGATAGATTTTTCTAGTAGATATGGATTCGCAGAAGTATTGAGAAATAGAAACTTGGAGAATATTGTAAGTTTTTTAGCAAAAGTAAAAGAACAAATAAATATTAAAAGATTAATATGTGATTCTGCGAAAGAGAATGTTAGCAAATAAGTCTTGGAATGGTGTAAAATTAACGACATAATAAGACACACAACCTTATCATCAATCAAATGGCAAAATCGAATGTTTTAACAGAACAATATTAGAAGGAATTAATAAACATCCCTCAATTATCATCCTAATTGATAGAGTAGACGGTGTATTAAACGTTTACAATAACGTACACCATTGTAGCGTGGATATGACACCAGAAGAAGCAAGGAAGGAAGAAAGAAAGAAAGAAAGAAAGAAAATAAGATAAAGGCGAAAAGGCACAGTTCCAAAATGCTTTAAAGTATAAAGAAAAAAGGAATAAAGGAGAAAAGGAAAATAAATACAAAATAGAAGACAACGTGCTGATAAAAAACGAAATACATAAATTTAAAGGACAACCTAAATATGAAAGAGTAGGTAAGATAGAAGAGGAAATTGGAAAAGACGCGTGTAAAATTGGACTAGATAATAATAAAAGCACAAAGAGACATTACGACTAGCCAAGGCCGTAAATAAAAGGGGTTTATTGACTTGGCGGAAGAATGTTACAAAAATATTATAAATAAATAACTCTTAACTTATAAATCATAATAGGGGGGAACAAAAGATAAAGAAGAAGTAATATTTTTTACTTCTTTTTTTGTGCGATTTTTAATATTTAAATATATTGGAATATAAGAATATTTAATTTTTATTTATTTAGTAAAAGTTGAATCATCTTTGAGAATCTATCACTAATATGTTGTCTAGAAAACATAAGTAGATTCAGATAGGTTTAATTGTTCTTTTATTTCTGTTTCTTACTCGGGGGGTTTTCTAGCGCAACTTGCCAACATTTTTGTTTTCGGGAGAAATAGGAGTTAAAAAAATAAGCATGTAAAATGTAAAAACAAAAATGTAGGCAAATTTTGCTAGAAAAGCATACAGTTCAAAACAAGCATATTAATCGAGATTAAATGCAAATATCAGAAATCAAGTTTTTTTTACAAAATGCCCTATTATTAAATGAATCGGACGTTGTCTTGAATACTTTTCAATTTTATTTGTCTTTAGTAATGCGCTTCTCTTGAGTTTTTTTTAAATTTTATAATTATATATTTGATTTGTAATAAAAAAATAGAACTTTTTTAAAGAAAAAATATAATTAATGTTGTTTAGCTTTTTTATTTTAAAAATAATTTTTTATACCCTTATGTGCATGTTGGTTTTAATGAACAAATTTTTACTAATGTCATGATATTTAAAAGATTTTTGCTGACAAACAGCATATTTTTTTGACAACAAGTTGTAATTTCTGTAATATAGATTGTATGTTGGTCACTTTGTAACTTGTATCACTAAGTTTGTATAAAGGTGTTTAAAAAGAGGATGTAAAAAAAGACATTCTCTTTTTCAAAGCAAACCGCCAAATACAGTTGTCATACAATTGATTTTTCTTTTGATGAATGATTGTAATTACAACAAAAAATCGGTTTTTGTGTTTGATAGACACAATTTTTTTGAGATATAAATCTTTATTGTTAGCTTGCTGTAAAGTATTTTTATCTCGCAGGCCAATACTAGCGGATAATGATCAAATACTAGTTAAAGTTGATGAAAGTGTCATTTAAAAATGTGTAAAATAAACAGAAATCTAACTAGTTCAGATGAAATGTTGCTGATACCCATTTGATTTTGGGTGGTGTAGATAGAACTTCGAAATTTTTTTTTTATATTAAGAATTTCAGATAAAACTATTGTTTCTTTAAAATCCGCCTTTTATGAATTTATACATGAAAAAAGCATACTGTTTACTGATAAGAATCCATCAGTAGATTCTCAACTTAATTTACACCACTATGTAGTTAATTATTCTACTAGACTTAAAGTTGAAGATGGTACACACACAAACAATATTGAAGGATTTTGGTCGCATATGAAAAGCTCAATATGAAAAGAGTCTGGTGTGGCCAGAAATAATATTAATATACTTTTAAACAAAAATGCTTACTTAATGCACCTTTTAGTAATTTTAGAGAAGTCATTATTGAAACTTTAAAGATATTTTTTGAAATAAACTATTAACTTTTTTTTATTTTTTTTAAAAAAATGTAGGCAAGTTGCGCTAAAAGACCCTATATTGGCATCACTCTTTTAATTGTAGACCAGCTGCCTTTAAATGTGTTTGTATAAACTTCCTAGTAGAATCTTCAAAATGCTTGCCATGATTAACTGTAAGATGTGTGTCTCCTAGATCATTTAATCCTTCATATCCTTTCCAACAATCAGTATAAAAAAACTTCCTTGTTTTACATAAAGTCGAATTAAGGCGTGATGAGTAGCCTTATCACATTTTTAACAGGTGGTAGGACAATGTTCATATTTTCTGTCCTTTCTACCATCCCCGAGTCTACTGCATTTATTATACTTGCGCTTACCAAATTTGCTTTCATAAATCTCGACAATTACATCTTTGCCACCAATCTGAATGTCTAACGGTACGAGGGGGCCCGATGCTCTGATGATTTTTCTAGCAAATGTTGGCTTATAGTCGTCGGCCTATTTATTTGCCTAAAGGGAGTATTGTATAGAGCCAAGAAGATAGATGAATGTAAATTTTAAGCTACTTTTAAAATTTCAAGCTGCTATTGAAAATTTGTTGCTTAAAGGGTAAAAATTAATAAAGATATTTAATTGATTGTATCATGTCGAAGTGATATAACTAGAAAAGACATACGTAAGCGCTTTTCTACGATATGTTACCAGATAAACTGTAATAGATATATAAACTCTTTCTCAACTGTTATAGTCTTTCTTTATATTAAAAATATTTAGAACGAGACCATAGACCTTCGATATTCTGAGTATGTATTGAAGGATTATTTAAATCAACAAAAGTAACATTATGTTTAACGCTTAAACGATTAATGTTGTGCAATTACTTATAGATTTCTTGTATGTTCATTTATCTGTAATTATCAAGGGGCCAGAAAGAACATAATTTAGTTTACATTAGTTATTGTATTACTGTTTCTATTTTCGACTTTACCAATAAAGCATTTTTATATCTCTTTCGATACCTCCAATATACCATTGCTGGTCTCTGAACCGCCCCCTATATAATTGCGCTTAAAAGAAGTGGATTCATTATTTTTAAAGACTTTTCGTGTACCATCGTCGTTAAAACCACATGTAATTAAGAAAAATGTTAAAAAATGATATTAGATGGCTTGAGCTTTGGTAGTTTATGTTATAATTTTTTATTTTATTAAACCCCTATTATGTTAAGCACTAATAGAATATATTGATATTTTAAAGACTTTTTTGAATTAAATTATTAATAATATTTTTTTAGCCCTTGTTTTATATTTTTAAAGGTAGGCATATTCATTGAAAAGACCCTTCATTTGTATTGTTATAAACAACATTTATTGAATTTACAAATCCAATGCTGTGATTAACTGTCAAATGCTTTAAAAAGAAACAATTATGATCTTAATATGCTTTTTAACATTCGGAATAAATGATACTATGTGAATAAACATACTCTTTTATGCAAGGTAATGACACTTTTTTTTTTCTATCTTCAACAGGCAGGACCACTATTTTATATGTAGATCTTTTACAACTTTGAAACCCCAAACTACATTTACACGGAGACCACGATTATGTTTTCGTTTTCCAAACCTACTCTCGTCTATTTTAATTATATTTCCCTTGTCTCCGAGTTTAATAAATTCTAAATGAGTAACAAAACACCTTTCTGGTTGAACTTATTAATCGTTGCGCCAATTGTTTCCATATTGATATATATTAATCTGGCTATAATTGGCAAATGAATGAAAATTAAACCATAGTCTACAAGTTTAAAGACTACGATTGTACTAATTATTTATGAATTTAATATTGTATTTTTATTAAAATTATATCATTATTTGCACAGCTTATTAAAAAATCTTACTACCAAAAATTATATGCTTCGGTTTGTTTTATTACATTTAAAGCATTTTCTGCTTAAAATACGCGTATTTATAGTATTTAATTTGATTTAAGTCGGCTTTTTTTCAGAATTTTTTATTATTTTCAAAAGTTGAAATTTTTAGCCCCAATTTTTTAATAAAATTACACTTGTAAGACGAAGTCTTAAAAAGTAATTTATTTAAAATTGAAAAAAACTGTTCAATTTATATATAAGTAATAAATAAGCTAATAAGTAAATATTAATAAAACATTGAGGCTGTTACTTTTCTCTTTTTTAACATATAAATCTTAATAAGTATACATCGACCAATTTCCATGTTATACTTCTAGTGGGTATTGATCTTTCAGTTTAGCTCTAGTTAACTTCTATGTTATTTTATGAATATTGAATCTTTTATCAACATAGTATTTTGAATGATTTACTGTTTGATGTTTGAAAAAATCTTTGGAAAAATTTGAATACTCTTTCCGGCAACCACTATAAATAATTATTCTTTTTAAATATATAATAATAATTTAATTGTTTATTTATTAATTCTTTTTCGGAGAAACTATTACACTTCCTGATTCCACCACCACAAACTTTCAGAACATTTTAACATCATTGAAAGCTTTCTTTTCTCAGCATATTCTTTTATACCTTTGTAATTTTTTTCATTAGCTTCATCATTCTTGTATTGAAAACTCCTCTTTCCTTAATATCAACATCGCGTATTATCAACGCAGCATACCA